AGTACGCAACTAATCAAGCTCTCTCTAACGAACTATTAATTGTCCAAGAAATTCTCCCTCTTATTGAGATATATGTGCATGAATATTTAGACAATAGAAATTGGTTAATGAGCATTTGGGGACCTTGAGCTAACCTCAGTTCAAAAGGTCTACTTTTGCTCATTAACAAAAATCCATTGTTTAAATATTCAGAGGAGATTTTCTCGGCGCACAATAAAGCTGTGACTTTGAGACTTGCATGTAAAACGCAGCTTATCAAGCTCTTTCTAACGAACTTTTAATCGTAGGCAAAATCCTCTTTCTAACTGAGATGTAAGCGCATGATTATTTAGACATTAGAAATTGGTTAATGAGCTTCTGGGGACCTTCATTCAACCCTATTTTGCTCATTAACAAAAATCTATTGTTTGAATATTCAAGAGCAGATTTCCTCGTCTCACACAGGAGCTGTGACTTTGAAACATGCACACAACAGACATTTATCCAAGCTCGTTTTAACGCGCTACAAATTGTTCCATAAATCTTCATCTTTTCCGAGATATAAATACGTGAGTGTTTTAATAGCAATTCGTTAATGAGCTTTTGGGGCTGCATAGAGTAGCTTCCATTTGAATACGTGTAATCACTATGTGGAATGTCTGTTGTTGTCGCAATGTCATCAGACAAAACTTTCCCCTTTATTTCTTTTCTGTTGCAATTAAGTGTGACATGTCTCGATGTTAAGTGTAATATTGAATGATATAGAACGTTACCACAGAAAGAGTTCAGAAAAGAGTTCTGGAAAACCTTGAACTTTATTAATTGTACTAAAAAATATTTGCAAGGAGGTGAAATATGTACAACGTAACGTGGCTATGAAATATATATATATTATAAACCTCCTGCTTATTAATCTGAAATTACAAACTTATATGTACACGATTTCGCTCCAAATTTCATAAATAGCAACCCGAAAATACGCCACTCTCATCTCTACTAATTGACTGAGGTACATATAATACACTGAGAATTTCGAAAATGGCACGCATCTTGAATTCTAGTTTGACCTAAAGATTCAACGCACATAAATAAAAAGGTGGTAGGACCCGTAATTGAAAGGGAGAAAATTGACCGTCATGAACCACTTGACAATATTTATCTAGGGCTTGTCATAATTCTACAATAGCATAAGGGAAGGTAATAAACTAAAAGGAAGCAAGTTGACGTGAGAATGCTTGAGTCACACAATGTTGCGTGACCGAAAATAGTACACACCAACGGCGTCACGATGTTCTTACTATTTTTGGCACAAGATCTAGACTTGCTACCTTTCAGTTTCAGCAAAAATATTCACAAATCAAGATTAACTGAGGGGTTAACTGTTGGATATGTCTAACGATGGTTAGCACCAGAACGGCTGAAATACTTTGTCGTTACCTCTAAAAGTCAATGCACAAGAAGACTTTGCGCAATAGTGTCTTCGTTCTCAGACTAAACGGTCAAAAAATTGTGGGATAAGTTAAGACCTGGGGACAAAATTAAATACTAAGGTAGCCTGAAGGAAGCGAGAGGGGTGTTTACCTTAATTATTCTCTCAAAGTTGCATAACACGTTCGGTCGAGCGAAAGAGTCGTCTCCTTTAGAATTCTCCATTTTTCCTAAATTATAACACACTATTGTGATAGACTCGTCTGAAGAAAAGTTAATTATAGTAAGTAAAACTTACATCGAAATTGGCTGTTGGTGTTTTCATAAATTTAGACGTAAACAATAGAAAATGTCTTTTTACATCTAGCAGTAAACTGATATTCAACGCTACCTCTTGGCGACGGGGCTTGAAAATTTTGAACAGATTTCAAAATACGATTTTCAAAATAGATCACTGAGAACCAGTGCAATACTCGACAGCTCCAAATTGCTTTTCGACGTAGAGAACCAATTTGGTTCAGATTATTTGGGAACACTTTCTTGTTTAAGATACGAAACTGTTAAAAAATATACTCTGCTAGTTCACATCAACCCCGGTAATACGAGTTCCACCGTGTCTGAAAATAAAAAAGAAAAAAGCCACAGATCAATTTATGGTTTGTGTAATGTCAACTTTTTTACATGATATATCTCCACAGTTCGCTTACCCAATTTAATATTAGAAAGGATTCAGTCTATGCAATCTTTTTGGCATGCTAGGTTTGTTGGATGCGATGCCTGCGTTACCAACATTGTCGCATAACATGTCGGAGGGGTTCTCCAACACTTTTTAAAAGATTACTAAATATGATGATTCATTTGACATAATTTTGTATTAGAGGCTGGTAAAATACTTCAAATTGTACCACCGAAATTGGCTCTTCGCCTCTCAGATTTTCCTCCAACAAAATAACCAGCTCCCATATGGCTTTTTAGCTCAGTTGGTAGAGCGCTGCACCAGTATCTCCCAGGTCATAGGTTCAACTCTCGAACGAGACTGAATTTTTTTCAAGCTTAGTTTTCTCTACTGCTTAAGTAATATTCATTACTGCGAAGATCGCTCTCACTTTCATTTCCCTCCCTCTTCGTGAAACAATACGATGAGAAACAGGTCTTAATGCAGTGGGAATATAATTGTATAACATGCAAATTCTTACCAGCCAGTGCTAGCAGGAGGAGGAGTGGAGATGAGCCAAGTTTGCCAAATGCTCTCGCCTCAGTCTCCTCTTTTCCGCTCCTATGTCTTTCATCTCAAGTGACTGCGGGGATGTTTTTTTGTTGGCCAGCGGTTGGGTCGGCTCACGTGTCATGTGATTATTCATAAGGGCAGCCGCTGCCCACTCTGCTTTAGTCTGACGAGACTCGTAGTCAGTACTATCTTGAGAAGACTGAGAATCATCGTGAAACTTCTGCAGCGACTGTCTCCTCCCCTCTAGGGATTCTTTTCGTCCCTGTTGCATTTCGGCTGCAAGCTGATCAGCGTGATTCGTTTTAAACTCACCATTTCTTAATGGTGCAGTACTTTGACTTGAGGACCTCAGAGCTCCATCTCTGACTGGTAAATCCACACTAGAAACCCTTAAACGCCCAGTTCGATTAACTTTACCATTTCCACTAATATCAATGGCAGATACCACACGATGAGTTCTTAAGTCTGTACTACTCTTCGCCCAACGTCTGTCACGAGCATGCGTAGTTTCCTCCTCATCGCTCGATCCATTCTCTCCCTGCCTAGGTATTGACTTAGGTCGGCTAAAAGGTCCGTTTTTAGATACAGGTTCCTGGCTCTCGCTCACACTTCTTCCCTGGGGCCTTCCTCGGGGGTAACCTTCATCATTCAGAGACCCTCCTCGGCGTACCCTCCCCCCATTGATATCAGAAGCATTAGGTAGATACCCGGATATAGGTTGTCTGGTACCATTCGTACCCGGCTCGTGACTTTGTTTCGGTGTACTCGGCAAAACCTGTTTTTCACTCCTTGCTGGGTTTTCCTTAGCCCGACGTTGTTGTACTGGAAATGTAACTACATTCCCATTTTGATTGGAATTAGTTACCCATGTGGGCGAGACACCATTTGAAACTGAGATATCCTCCGTAAGATCGACTGTATGCCGATTTAATGGCGCGCGCTGACCGACAATGTCCGAATAACTATCGACGTCTGAGTCGGATGGGTCGGCGACTGAAGAATTTCGCGAGTGATCTACGACGGATGAAGTTGTATGTTGCTTATTGGCACTGCGCACGTGTCCGTTGAAACCTGAATAGGAGTTTACGGCGTTTGGATGATTCCTATTTACAAGCAGAGGCTGTGATTTGGAAAGAGCTCGAAAGCTTCTTCTTTCGGCTTCTGCAACTGCTGCCGAGTTAATCGACTCGTTTGAAGGATGGGCCTCAGTTTTCACTGGCCTGGAGGTGATGCTGGTTTTGGAACCCTTACTAATGCCCCTTGAATTGCTAACATCGTTGGAACTGTGGTCCACATCTTTAGACTTAGTGTCAAGATCCGAGTCGATAGAAGCTGATTTGAGAGATAAGTTGGAGATGACAGTTGAAGCGGAATGGACCTTGGAGAGTTTAAAGGTAGGATCTTCCTTCTCTGCAGGATTTTCTGAATCTGAAAAAATAAGAAAATAAGGTTGTATTCATATCAAGTCCCATCTTTCTCTCAAGTCTACCGACGGTGCATCCAAGGGCAACAAACGTAGGGCACTTAAAAACGCTGTTTTCGTATACGTGCCGTATGGTTCTCTTGAGACGCAAGCCGTTCGCAAACATGCCGAACTTTGAAATGAAGCTGTGAAACGAAGCTTTCTTTTTTAGGGAAGCAACCGAACACGTTTCCAAAACAACTGTAATTTGTATGTTTACCTGTGAGAGCACACAAGGCCTGCACAGTACACTGTACAGCACGTCTGCTGTTCGCTTTGCCGGATCGAAGCATCACTTCATCTTTGCCCACGCCAATCAGATCAAAACCGAGAGAAGCCAGCAGCTCGTGACAGCCGGAAGTGCGCCATAACTTGAGATTTAAAGGCACCTGTACGTTGTTCATTCCTTGGGCGAAACATGACAAAACCTGGCTGAACTGTGACGCAAAGAGAGAAGAAACAAGCTCAACGTTTGGGTAGAAAAAAAAGCAGCCTCAAGAAGCACGTATGTATAACATAGCCACCTTTATTTTCATAAAGTTTGCAGTTAAGACACAATACCAACTGAACATTATCTAACACTGACGACAAGATCTACAACAGTTATCAAATTTGTCGCTGGAGACAAACTGAAATTTCTCATCACGAATACGCAGAAATAAAGAAAATTCTATTTCAGTAGATTTCTTTTTGAAGTGAGAGCACTTTTCAGTTTGCCTTTTTTCAGCCAATTGTCTAAGAGATGAGAACATCCATGCAGCTTGGTTTTCAACACAGGATGCTTTACTACGCACATTGATCAATACAAAACCATTTTTGACTTACCAGAGCCACTAAAGCTGTGTTCACTGTGCGTGCATTCACGAGTTTGGCCAGAGCCTGCAAAGTGGTGGGACTCAGACCTGAAGGAAAAAATCGACTTTTTTCACTTTTTTTGTCGCCTTTTCGAAGGAGAGGGTCAAAAATTCATAAGCCTCAAAAGTGCACGTTCTACTGCTGCTCGGGTCGTTGAATAGGACCTCTGTTGTAGAAACAAACCCAGAAGTATCATTCTCAACTCTGAAAGAGAGGCCAGTTTTCTGCAAGGTATAACCAGCACTTGACAGGTACCTGGTACTCGTTTGGACCCCTAGGGGATAGAGGCCCCGTGAGCGTGACATGTTCCCCACCGCCGCCTCCCCTCCCCCCAAAAGAAAAAAAAAGGTTCAAGAAAGATCTGTCCTTTATTTTGACAAAGAAAGAGAGAAAAAAAGGAACTCTCATTACAAATTATTTTTAAAATAATCCTCTCTTTACACCGAGTGTTTACTCACCCAGCAAAGCGTGTAAATGGTTACTTGCATCAGCCAGCTTGTCTGCCACACCACTGGATACTGTTGGAAAGAAGACGGAGTCCGGAAGTCCGTTAGCAGCCTTCTGAAACCGGAAACCAAGAAGCTTGAGCAATTCTCGCCAACCGCTGGCTCCCTTGACTTTGGCATTGATGCTTGCATCCGCTGTGTACATGGACGACCGCTGACCTGAACGTATCCGCTGTTGCGCCTTGTCCACCTGAAGGCGAAGACCGAATGAACGAGGGAGTTAGCTTAACTGGAAACACGAAGGGGGAGGGGGGATAGGTGGGGGGGAGAGGGTGGTGGAGAGGGAGAAAAGGTGGGGGGAGGGTGGTGAAGAGGGGGAAAAGGTGGGGGAAGGGTGGTAGGGAGGGGGGAAAGGTGGGGGCGGGTAACCTTACGATGGATTACCATCCCATCCAGGGGGGAGTAGTGATACTCTTAGTCGCTTCATGTTATGGAAACAGAGATTTAAGGTCACCTATGCACAGACAAAACTAAGCTATTGATCATTAAGATCCCCGGTTCGTCTGCACAAAATCTCTAAGAGAGGCGATAGGTTACTTTAGTTGAAAGAGTTGACAGAGTTTCACATACCAGATGAACAAGAACTTTCAGTGCATCTCGGCAGTTCACAGGGTTATCTAACAGTTTGGAAATGGCGCTACTCATCAGAGCTTCTTTATTCGTCAGAGCTGTGTCTCCACCAACAAGGATAAATCCAGCCCAGTTTGACGGATGTGAAAACTGCTTTGTTCCCTGAACTACCTGCATGGCCTGACACAGAGATTGGCTCGCCATCATTCCTTGAAGGAGTCCGCCGTAGAACGCTTTCAGAAGCAACTTGCACGCCAGGTCTGGGACAGGCCACAGGGCAACCAACAAACTCTGTGCTCCAGCCGACAGGAATGATCTCGTTAATCCGATCACACCATCCGATGTAATCCGATTGCGCGACGAGTGGTTGTGCGCAGCGCCAATAACAACGAGTTTTGCTGATAATTTCTGGTCTAAGATATCGGCTGCTGTGAGAAGGAATTCAGACAAAGCCGGTGCTTCGTCAGGACTCATGTCACCAAGAAAGTCCAGACTCGCTCTTTCGGGTGATCCTGCGGGCGTGATCGATTTGTCATCGGAATTCTGCGGCGAAAGAATAAGAGATGATAGTTTCCAAGACACATGAGTAGCAAAATGAATGCACTCCGCCTTCGGCAACTTTCGGACGACTTCGCTCTTAGTCGCAACACTGCCGAGTAGCGGTTTCGTGTTGAAGAGTTCCGCCACGATCTTAGCTTCGTGCTCAGCGCTCGGGTTCGATTCCCATTGTCCGAACGTCGTCGGGACCTTCGGGTTTCCGATGATCGTTACCGAAGATGTATCGAGTCCACTTTTCCTCAACATGAGAGTCTTGATGTTCGAGGCGAGAGCTTGCAATGAAGGAACAACGATAAGCCTAAACCGACGGAAAAGATAATCTTTAGAAAGGCTCCCTTTTAAGACAGGAAACGGCACCAGGTACAGATCACCTTGGAGAACCAACGCAAGTGAGGAATCTTCGCTTTCGAAGGACGAAGAAGCAGGTAAAGCGTCTTCCATGGGAGAAATCAAGAGCTCGTACAAAGCACGAAGCGGTGGCTTTCCCGACCAGCCGAGCTTCTTGTTGCTACTTCTTACCCCATTTAATTTTCGGACGTTCCTCGCTGACAAGAAGCTGCTCCTCGGGTTTGACCGGAAACTGTGACCGCCAAATGACAATGACGACACACTTATGGTATCATCATCATCCCCTGACATGTACGACAGTGGGCTCGCGCTGAACACACTGTCTCTTTCCCAGGTGTCTTCAACTTCACTCTCGGACATGCTAGTCGTGCGATTCAAATTTAAATGCGGTTCAACTCCGAGAGCATCGCGTACCTGCGTGATGTACGAATCTAACAGAGTAGAGGTGTGCGAGTAGGCTGCGCTGCTACTTTGATCTAAGTCAACTGACACTTCATTGTCATGGTCTCCATCCGAGAGAAGAGAGTCGTGAAACTTCACAATTCCTTTATTCGGAGTGATGAGCCAGCTGTACAAGTGTCCTGCGGCTATGGAATAGTACAAGACACTTGCCTTTTGACTGCGTACCAAGTCTGTGATTTGTTCAGGTGTCGTCAACGGATTCTCCAAATACTTCGAAATTCCGTTCTCTGATCGATTACTTCCTTGTCGTTCTTGAAGCAAATCGATAAAATCTCGGGTCCGACTTCGCTCGGCGACCGCCAACGCCTCCTCATGGTTGCCCATAGTAACTAAAACTCGCTGTAAAACTTGGTAAGTCGCAGCTTGAAGTTCATACAAAGACAATTTATACTCGCCACTACTAATACCTTCTTCGCGCAATTTCTCCAATAACTCCGCCGCGCGGAAAAGATGCAGCTGCGATGCGTCCAGCTGATTGGCTGCCAAATATGACAAACCTAATCGATGACGTATTCGCGCCTCGTCTTCACTCCTCCCTAGAGCCTCTACGATCGCAAGGCCTTTGTTGAGGTACGAGATAGCCTGGGAATAATTTGCCAGGGCATGATGCGTTCTTCCTAGTGAACTGTATGCCTGCGCTTTCGCTGCTTGGTCGTTCATTTGCGAGGCGATGTTTAGATGTTGGCCTTGGTAGATTGCCGCCTGTTCGTAATTTCCGAGAATTTCGTGCGTCATGCCGAGATGAAATGACGCCCGACCGCGGCGGCCGAGGTCCTTTTGTTTCTCGGCGACTGTCGTCTCTTGTTCGTGTAGTTTCAACGCCTTTTCGTATTCCCCCATCTTCTGGTTCACCAGCCCCAGTCCACAGAGGGCGTCTCCTTCATTAATGGCATCATTACACTCCCTCGCCAAGGACAACTGTTGCTCGAAACATGCAAGGGCTTGCTCGTAGTTTCCAAGAATCTTGTGCATATTTCCCAACTCGCAGTAAGCTGTCCCTTTGGAATGGAAATCAGTCAACTCGTGAGCCACCACTAATCTCTTCTCGAAACACACAAGAGCTTGTTGCAGATTTCCCATTGTCCTGTGCGCGTTCCCTAGTCCGCGGTAGGCCTTGTCCTGGTCAGCAGCACTCTCCATTTGTTGCCCAGCGGCAAGATATTTATCGTAAAACTTTACGGCTTCTTCATGGTCACCCAGCACGTGGTAACACTCACCCAGATTCCCATATGCACGGCCGCTTTCAAGCAAGGCACCTGTAACCTGTTCCAACGTGGCGATCTGCTGTTCAAAAAATCCCAGCGCCTCTTGATAATCTTTAGTGTTCATTTTTGTGATTCCCAGGTTACCACAAGCTTCTGCTTGGAGAATACAGTCATCAAGTTCATTTGCGATGGAAAGCTCTTCAGAATAGGACACAAAAGCATCATTATACTGTTGTAAGCTGCTGTGAACTGAGCCGAGATTGCTTAACGCTTTGCAAATACCAACAGAATCATGCACCGTTCTTCTCAGTTCTAACTCTTTTTGAAAGCAAACCAACGCCCTATCAAAATCACGTGCAGTCCTAAAAGCGCTACCCAAGGCTCCGTGCGCTTCGCTCTCCAGAGCAGCATCCTGCGCCTTCTTTGCGACTTGTAGTTGTTCCTGGAAAAATCGTATTCCCTGATTTGTGTTACCCAGTGTCACATAAATATCACCAATGTTTCCGCAAGCTTTAAATTCGCCTTGGACTTGCATGGCCTCCTGTGAAACAGTTAGGAATTCTTTCTGACACTCCAACGCTTTCTCTTGTTTGCCGATTGCACTGTAAGCCAGTCCTAGATTACAATATGCTCTTCCTAAGCTTGTCCTGTCTTCCAGATCTTTGGCTATTTCAATGTTTCTCTCGTAATAAGGTACAGCATCTAGGTGACCGCCTAACGAGTAATGCGCGAATCCCAGATTGTGACAAGCTTTGCACTCGCTCACACGATCCCGCATATGTCTCGCGACGGACAAAAAGTTTTCGTAGAAAGGAATAGCTTTAGTGAAATTTCCGCAAGAACTGTAGTAATTCCCCAAATTGCTCAAAGCGATGGCTTCATTTGACTGATCACCGATTTCTTGTGAAATAACTAAGTGTTGTTGATAATGTTTCAATGACTTGTCGAGACTTCCAATCGCTTGATAAGCCACTGCAAGATTTCCATGCGTGCAGGCTTCTGACGACCGATCGTTCACTTCTTTGGAAATCATCAGTTCTTGTTTATGGAACTTAATAGCTTGTTCATACCGCGCACAAGCGCTGTAAGCGCAGCCCATATTCCCGTAGGCTCGCCCCTGTCCCGCTCGGTCCTCCAACTCTTTACAAATAGCCAAGTGTTTTTTGTGAAGTTTTAGGGCTTGTCCATAAAGCCCCCTCTGCTGGAAAATAACTCCCAGGTTGGAAAGCGCTCTCCCCTCGGTCGCTCGATCTTTGAGTTTGATCGCCAAGGCAAGTTGATATTCGTGAAAAGACACTGCCTGATCTAAGTCACCTTTGCATCTCAGAGCATGTCCTAGGCCAGCATACGCCCTCGCTTCCATAAAAGAATCTTTGGTCTTCTTCGCCACGTCCAAGACCTGCTTGTGAAACTGGATTGCTTTGTCGAAGTCTCTCTTGTAATGGAAAGCACTTCCTAGGTTGCTGTACGCCCGGCCTTCTTCTGCCTTGTCTCCCAGCTCAACCGCAATTTTCAAATGTTCTTGATGATATTTTATTGCATTGTCATAATCCGATAACAAGACATGCACAGCGCCAATGTTTCCTAGTTCTCTCGCTTCGCCTTGTCTGTCTTTCAACTCCTTATAGATCTGCATTGATTGTTTATGACTTGAGATAGCACTTGTGTAATCAGTCATCGAAACATGTGTATGCCCTAAAGAACTCAAGGCACTCGCGGCGGTTTTACGATCTTTAATTGTCAAAGCAATATCCAGCTGACTTCTCTGATGCTCCACAGCTTCCTTGAACATTCGTTGTGAGTAATATGCTCCACCAAGATTACCATAAGCTCTGCATTCTCCACCTTTGTCGTTCAAAGACTGTGACGTTTCTAGATCTTGTCTCATGTATTCCATGGCCTTCTTTAGATTTCCAAGTTTCCAATAAGCTGTACTTAAAGCCGAGATGACAGAGCCCCGGAGACGTAAACCGCAAGTTCCAACTTTCAAAGCAGCTTCGAGGCAATCTATGGCTGCTGTTACATGTCCGACAGAAAGAAGTTCTTGTCCGATAACTGATATCATTACAAAGGCGCTCTTGTCAAGTTTCATGCCTTTCAGCTGGCTGTAGATTGGCTCGAGGGTAGCTGTGAAGAGAGAAAAACAAAAACACGCAAAGATATAGTTCACTAAATTCTCCAGCTTGGATTACAACAAAATTACGGCGGTACTTTGGGAGAACTACTTCTCTGAGCTAGCTTCTAGCAGGGTCAAGACCGAGTAAGGCGATGAGTGCATGAGAATTGTCTTTTCAATACGTTCGCACATTCATCGCGGTTTTTATTATTAGGTGAATGTTTACGACTTAACCAGATGTGGCGAATGTTGGCTTCGCAGCCAAATCAACCGCGAATTCCGACAGTAATTTATTAGAGGTCACTAAAACAAGTATTGCATGAGTACACAGTCTTCAAAATAGTGCAGGCTTGTGTCATGCATCTTTAGCTAAGGCCTTCCTCATTAAAATGGGTTTCCATTTAAGAACGCTTAACGCATAATTCTACCTTTTCACCTAAATCACACGGATAAAAACGGTGACTGTTTCAAAGGTGAAGCATTTTGTAAACATCGTTTTGGACAAGCTATTTCTAGTGTGGACAGGTGAAAAAGGTGACGAAAAAAGCATCCCATACAACTGGCAACGTTTTCATCGGCCATTTAGTACAAAACTCGCATGCGTTTTCAAATGATAAAAGTTTTAGTCTTATCAGATTAAAAGGAGGCGAAAACAACAACTTAGGTGACAATATTTACCTCCGCTTTGGCTGAGACGAACACAGATCCCTTTAAAAACAAATTAGTGATGTCGGGGCCGAAAGTTCGATACTTGTACTTGTTTTTGAAGAAACAAAGGGCAAGGTAATGAAACCGATAGGGAAATATTTCAAGGATTAAGATAGAGTGTCTTGGGAAAATATTGTCAACTTAATTTTTTGAGCGTCTTACTGTATTAGACAACAACCTTTTTCTAGATTACACCGAATATCATTAGGGAATCGCATGTTGTTTTCCTACGGATGCACACAAACGCAACGCACCAAAGATACGCAGTATTTTTGGGCCCTTTTTGCAGGTAGTGTTTGTTCTTCTCAATGAGGTCTAAGTATTGACGGATGATGTTATGTATATCTCGGCATATTAAGCTAGAAGGTTTTTTTTTTAAGTACCTCTGAGAGCACATATCAAAAACCACGCAATCTATTATATGTGCTCCTCTGATATGAAGTCCCGCAGTTGTTTGTTGTGCCGAAAGAATACGTCGGATAAAAAATTTGATCATACAAATTTAGAGAGAGAACCCAAGTCAAACAAATCAAGAACCAATCTCAGGGAATTTCGACGAATTAGATTAGGAAGAAAACAACGAACACTTTCTACCGGCTTAGAACACTTCTACCCCTTTTTTATTCGACGAGACAAAGATTCCAAAGAGATAGATTTTTTTTCACGATAAACGGAATTTTCGCTTTCGGTTTTACGATCGTCCATGTCCTCTCAACGATTGATTGGTTATCGTTTGACATTCTCGCAAGATGGCTCTTTACATACATATTCAATTAGAGGGGCATACAAGGGAACCTTTCACAACTTTGCGCCAAAGCTATACTGGAATTTTACTGAAAAGAGGGTTTTTTACTACAAGACTTCTTCACCAGCGTGCCCCAGAATAACCCTAACGGCGCAAGACTAGAATTGTCAACATGAAATCCTATCCTCTTTCAAGGTGTTCCACTGACTCTTCCAGTTGGCGCACTTACCGTTATAAGAGGATTAAAGAAACGGATAAAGAACCATCTCTAGGTCAGACAAACGATCAAGAGATGTGACACAAGACTGGAAAGTGCGTTTGTTATCACGATTTTCGAGGAAACACCCAGCCTAGTCTGTCATGAGAATTCTTCTAAGATTTTAAAAACAACTGCCTGATGTTCTTGTAATTTTTAGTGTTGTGTTGCCCTCTCCAGCATTAGAATTAATCGTATTATTGCAATCTTTTTCCACGGAATACCTAAGGATTAAAATATTTTTATCTCCGTAGATCTGCTCGGTGTTTAGTTTCATTTACGTGAAGATATAGTAATCTACTCTCCAGGCAGATATTTGTGGTTTTGGTTTCTGGATTGTGTTCGCGTTAGTACGGTAATTTCTTGACAAGGATGTTCTGTTCCATACATTTCAATAGGCTGAGTTTAAGCCGAGCTATCGAATACAGTCTGTCAGGCAAGGAACCTTGCCATCACCAGGCTTGTTCCATCGGGGCCCTAGGAATACTTCCTATGGTGTACTTCACGGGAATGATCCGCCCTGAGAGGGGCTCTTTTTCGAGGTTTAGGCAATATCGTATACAAATGGATGGGAATCTCAAAAGAGAAGACGGATCTTAGCGTGTAAGGGCGACGTAAAGCTAATGCATTCGAGTAAAGAATGTCTGAGGTGTTAAATGTAGCCTTTGCGTCTTTCCTGGTTTATCACAATATGCAAGCGATTAGAATTACGTAAATTTATGAAAGTGCTAAGCTATGGACCTCGCAACGAACACATTTTCGTAAAACACTTGTTAATTGTCCCTTTTTTCGCTCCCCGGGGCCCATTTTCATATAATTAGATACTCTTATGAACTCTGCGATATTTACCTCTCAGTGGGGACTTCATCGCGGCTTCAGTCAGAGAGTTCAGCAGTTGAGGGCTTTTGTCATCCTGCGCAAGCGCAGACGCAAAGGCTCCAAGTGCATCCGCATGCCGACCCAGGCACTGCAGCGCCACTCCTTGACGGTAATAGGCCTGGAAATGACAACAACGCGTTAGACACAATGGGTGTTACAGGGGTGTTGTCTCAGATTTAAAATATGACCTCAGAAGACGCTGCTTGTTACAACGGAATCGAAGCTAAATGAAAATCAAAATCAAGCAGATTAAAGTAATGGTTACTAAGTTGCAGTTCGTCAAATTTCTCCAAAGATGAGTTTAAATGAGTAATCTGGAAAGCGAAGCTCTAATAGATATACACGAGTTACAGCCACTTTCCCGTCTGAGTGTCTTGAATAAATACATTTCCTTCATTCTGATCTTTTAAAAGCAACATTCATCGAATTTCGTGTCCGATAGACCCGAACACGCACAAAACTGAAGAAATACACGAACTACGCATCAACAATTCACAACTTCCGTGGTAAATAAATCCCTCTGACAACAAAACCCCTGAGATGACCCTTTCGTAATGCAGTAAGATTTGTTTTTGATAAAAACTACTTCGTATTAAGCTATCAGGAGTGTACCAACACAAACCTGGACTTTCATTTGATCAGAATACCACCGAAGTTGATTTAACGTTGCCCTTAGTAGACTGAGGCCTGAGATGCAATCGATCACTGAACTGACTTGCTGAGATTTGCGTATAAAGCGATATCACGTCACGAAAACTGACACGCAATTTCACAGTAGTAATGGAATATTTATTAGCTAAATATAACATTGCATTATCCACATTACCTGCCACCCAAACAGCAAAGAGATAAGTCGGGAGATTTTAATTAAATTTTCGCTTTTGTTGACATACAAGCGACGACGGAATAGGAAGCATAGCTAGACCTGTTTATATTTCATAGTTAAGTCTCCCAGTTGGTTAATTTTATCACAGCCTATTGGATTTTGCGATAGCTTTTCCTTCCTGTGGCGGGAATTTCTCGTCGTACGTGGCAACCCTAATCTTATCGACGCAAAGTAACCAGCACTTAACCGCAAAAGATATTTTGAACTTTCAATCAGAAATAACCTTTCAAATAACATTCAATCCCTTGATCTTTCCCTACACCTGCAGTACAAAAAAACTAGACTCTAAAGTTCTCTCCAAGATGTTAAGGACCTGTCTGAAAACTGCATTAATACAGTTATCAATGTCATAACAAAACCATGGCGGTGAGGTTCTGCAATGTTATTATTCCGGAGATAGGAAATACTGCATGATTTACCTTCCGCTGGTATCGCTTACACGTAAACATTTCAGGATCGTGTATCAAAACATCGCACAGAAAAACACAAACGTAATTTCACGAGATAAAAGTACAACATTATAATTTCCATCACGTTCAAAATACTTGAATTTCTGAATGTATAATAGTTATACCACAATGAAAGCAATAACTGTTTACAAATTGCCTGTGTTGAATCAATTAACATCACTAATCTACTAAATACCATTTAATAGACTTCTCGAGGAAAGCCATTTATATGCAGGCAAAATTATTTGGCGAGTACGTTTCTAAAACTTCAAAAATTCAAACGTTTGTCTGCAATTCCATACCCTAAAAATTCCAGTTCTTACCTGTAGTGCAATAAACAAAAGATTCTCATTCATAATTTCCCATGCTTTCTGTTCACACCAGAAACCGCATAACTAGACATACCTCTGATAAATTTCCATCAAAAGGAAATAAATCTGATATACTTAAGATATCTCGTTTCTTTACACCCCAGCACGATAAGATTCATGCTGCAAGAGAGAAATTTAGACTCGTGCATATAGAAATAAAAGCAATATTTCAATGATCAACATCCAGCTCATTCTGTATTCTGGTAGTGTCCCAACTTTTCTGACAGAAAAACTTCGGCGATATTGAGCAGTGAAAATGAAACGGCGCCAAATTTCTGATATTGCACTTGGTTTAATGACCATTACAATAAGACTAGTGCAATATCACTGACTAAAATAAGTCCACAAACAACATAACTGGAATAACATTCAACGCGTTTGCAGCAAGAAATAATGAATCCTTCAAGCTAAGTTAAGAATCTACCAGAATCGGATAAACCTCCTTAATTTCTCAAATGAGATTTTCAAAGTTTGACAAGAAATCATTGCGTGCGGTTCATATATCTTTAATTAATTGATATTGTAGAAAAGCACAAGGGTTTTTTTAGAACACTAATTTTCGGTTGACTTCAATTCATAGTTACCTACATTACACAACTAAATTGAATTTTCATTCACGATTAAACCTTTTTTATTAACGACTGGAATTTGTTTCCGTTCCGCATATTTATAAAGAAATAATTACTTTTGGAATCTTAGATATTCAATAAATGGAGCGATTTGTCATCGTCACTAGACCACCTTGCACAAACTTCGTCTAATTTACAAGTTATCAAATTCTTCTAACTGGGAGCATAAACAAAAATGCAGAAAAAACCCAAACGTTTTTTTTTTAAAATTCATTCTGTGCAATTTAAAAACTTTCCAAAGAGCTTCGAAGAGTCCCTTAAGGTAACAGTTACCTACAATAGATCGCTGACCTGCAACTCGTCAAAACATTCAGAGTGTTCATATTCCTCTCAGTTGTTGAACAAGACAAATTTAAGCGCATACTTATTCAAGACAGGAATTTGCTGCCCGGAAATGAAGAGAACGTAGTACTCGAAATTAACAGTGTTCCTTCACGTGAATAGTAAATGCAAAACGTGCTTACAAAAACAGACAATAAGGTCTCTCTTTACTAAGCTAACAAAATTTCCATAATTCAATTTTGCTATCATTTTATTGGCATCAAGATATGGCAACTTAAAAGAAAATCATACTCACACCGAATACCAACAGGTGTAGAAAATCGAAATAAAAAAGGAGACTCTCAGAAGCCGCTTAAAAATACGCATAATAAAATTAGATTTTGACACAGCATAACATTCTGACGCAGAATTTCAAAATAATTGAAGTTAACAGTAGTTTCACGGTAAAAAAAAATGATAGTGAATTCCTTAATTTTTTTAACAATTTCCTGATGTAATCGATGAGGCAGTATTAGAGTGACCTTCGCACTTTAGTTTACACCCAGCAAAGAATTCACAAAAACATTTTAATAATTCAGTAGAAACATAACACCTCGTCACAATGATAAATTGAATAACGAAGAATCTAAGTAAGAAAAGTGTTTAGAACCAGTTTTAGGGAGGCCATTAAAAAAGAAAAAAAAACACTTCGCTTTGCTAGCTTGTGGTAAAATCAGAAAAGGTTTACCGCGAAAATCATTGAAGATACTTTCCTGATTAGTGAGTTATTTAAATCTTGCTTGTACTGAGCATTGTTCCGCCTTTATCACAAAAAACTCTATTAAGGCACTTTAAACTTCCTTTGTTTTGACTTACCCAACTGTTAACTCCAAATACATATCCATGGTCATCGTGTTTTAACGAAGGAACTTTACTTTTCTTCACGAAAGCATGTCGTTTCATTTCATGGCGCCTCGATCGCAGGTCTTCCAGCCACTACATGTGTTCGTTCGAATAACTGCGTGAACTTTGAAGCCAGGAAATTCGAAACAATATGGATACGACAGTAGGAAATTCGTTGTTGCGTCTCTACGATAGATTCCTCAAGGAGTCACTAATAGATGTGGTTTTTTGGCTCTTGAGTTCGAGTAATTTGCAGTAACAACTTGAAATATCCAAGCGTTGTCACTCCGGGCCTTTCAGTGAAATTCGTTATCCACGACCTTGCTGTCGAAGTTACCTTTTATTACATCGAACAAAGACACCCAAGATGATGTCCCTTTTCGCAAACCATTGGTGTGATAAGAATTGACTCAATTAATTGCACTCGCCGCTTCGATCTTTATCGTTTCGGAGGAGAATAACACCATGATTCGGAGCGTGTATTTACAGGTCCTCTCAACCGTCGACACGAACAACTTTCAGCTCTTTAAAGACAGATGTTGTTGAAAACTTGAAGTAAAATTCTAATTTTCCCGTCAACACTTCGTCCTTAACGCAGGCAGATCGATTGAGGCGTTAAAACAGGGGTGATCGAGGGCGAAGTCAGAGCCAGTAAGATCAACCACACATAATTTGAATACGCTCTAGTTTAAACAACCAAATCCGCATGGAATCCAACGCGAAGAGCAAAACGCTATAGGCCAGTAGCCTTGTTAGCAAATAACTAAAACAAATAGCTGCTATTGGATATTAATTTATCATGACTCTTTCTGCTGTGGCGAAAAACTGTTGAAGCGAAACGAAGCACTTATCACACCTATTACACTCACAAGAGCTTGATGATGGAAAATATAATTCAAACTTATCTCGGAGGTATTTATAGCCTTGGATCACTATAAATCTATTGTAGCTTCGCAGGCAGCCAAAAAATTGTCAACACTGTCTCCGAAAGAGCCAATGACAAAACGAAGGCGGAAAGTGCAAGAAACACAAAAGAACTTCATTGTAAATGTCTTTTCTTGAAGGAAAACTAAACAAACATTCTATCCACCAGCGGTGCTAACAATAACGCCGAAACAAAAGCAAATAAAAAAAACACTCCCTATAACGCTGGAAAAAAGTTCTCACCGGAATACAAAGAAGAAAAAATATATATATTCACACTGCGACAAATTTCTATTATCTCGATTCAACGATTATCGGCAATTTACAGTTAATGAAATTTCACTTCTCAGAAAATGATTTGACCAGCCGTTACAACCAAAATCTAAAGGTAGAGAAAGATACAAATTTGGTTTAAGTTCCTCCTATTTCTTAACGTGCGCGTTTGTATATCATTATTTCTCAGCATGAAACGAAAAAAAATTTAAATAAATTTGCATTTATTTTCCTTCCTTCCGGCAAAGACCTACCTATAAAAAATACATTTATACGTTAATATACATTTGTGCTTCTATAGGAAATATATCAATTAAAGACACTCACAAATATAATCGAGAAAGAGCAAATGAAAATATATATCACGAAGAAAATCGAGCTGTTCTTTTTCAATATCTAAAAGTACCCTCTTGTGCTTACAATATTTGATTTTCTTTCCAATTTTCTTTCACAATGGTCAGGCTTAGAGCTTATATAGACAGCTGCAATTTCGTTTGAATGGAAAACCATCACACACGCGAGGGAAAAGCAAAACGCGTTTAGTCAAGTCTACAATCAAAACAAGTTCAAAGAGCTGACGCTTCAGCAATGTTTACATAACAAACTCAAGGGAAGTACATCCCAGGAGATTAAAACAACAAAAACCGTCTTCTTTTACCTATAACTCCAGCACGTGAACAATATCAGCAGGATTTTAAGAATATGAACTGTTATTGACCTTTCAGAAGCGTGACAAAATTAATGTTGGAAATTTAATTGCAAATACTAGGCCAAATGGACGGTGATATGATCGCAGTAACAAAATGAAAAACACTTCGATTTAGTAACAAAGTGCCGTGCAATAACATTTTGGTCCGCACATTGAACGTAACTAGACAAACTTCACAGAGTAATCCTAACGTTTGATATATACTGAACTTTGTAACTGTTTTGTAACCAGCGCGGATGTGAATATTATCAAATTTAATCATATTTTCTCAAAGGTCTTCGATAGCATTATGTTGCGTGTCTTGCAGGCAGCATCAAACGACGGCGGAAGCAATTACCTTCAAAAGAGATACAGAAACTCCAAAATAACAGGGTTACTTCGTATAAAAAACACCAACAAAAAAACTGAAAAATGTGGAAAGATGATTAAGAATAGGGAAGATTAAGTGGGATTAGACACGGCGAAAGTGGCACTTCAAAGCTGAATTCACTGAGACGTATAAGTCGTCTTCTGTTCGTTGATTACTGTTCAATTTTCTCGTTCCCATAAGAAAACGCTTTAATTAATAACACTTCCTCTTTTACTTCTCGTTTGATTCACCTTTTGTTACCCATATCTAATTGCCAGTTGTACAAATATCATCGTTTCTAAACACAGAGACATCCAAATTACTTCAGACAGCTTCCTGGCTGCAACACGTTCTTAAAACCCACCAGTTATCAACCACACGGGTAATACAGGTTTTGTCCTCATTCGCTCTGACGAAGGGCTAACTAAACCACAAGCGTAGCGACAAATACATATTTCTTTTCAAAATTCCTTCTCTTCTAAAAGCGCAACCTCCACCCCAGAGTTCTAAGTGACAAAGGGCAAAAAGACGAAGCAATAAGGGAGGGGAGGCTGTGACGATTATCAGAGCTTACATGTAACTTAAAGTTCGTTACTCTCGTAATCAAATTGGCGGAGTGAAATGAAAGTTCAGGAAAGACCTACTGAGAAAAATTAGGTTTACAGTACGATTTCTGTAATTAGGGTCACCTACAAGACTGACCAATCCGATTTCAGAAAGCAAGCATCGCATTCCATTTGAATTGTGTCTCATGTTTGCCTTATTCGGTCATATTTGTTACCTACAATGTGATTGGTCCATTTAATTTAATCGACCCGGTGACAGTAAAGGAAATCTGTTTTTTTTCTAATCGTTCTTCTCCATCTTTCGGTAGCGAATGAAAATTTCTTCGAGAATCTTTTTTTTAGCAAACTAATACTTCATTTGTTTCTTTTGAATTGTAAAGAAACTTCTCAGTTTGCCTCAAAATTCAAGGACCTACTTACACTCTAGTTCGTTAGGAATGTATTTATTCCTCGATCAGTTTTAAAGCATACAAAAAAAATTATAATGGCGTAAATCAAACCGAAACATGTCTATGAAAAGTATTATTAATAGTGAGTTTGAAATTTATTCTGGTATTTCAAATTTCGCGCGCCATCACTTAACTTTTGAAAGGAAAGTCTTTCAAAAATGTCCATATAGTTGAATAGGCAGTCAAAACAGTACTTAGAGATTATGCGCAAGTATCGAACGTGCACGCTATAATTCAATTTCTTTAATCACTGCATCTAAGAGTTGAACCTTAAAGATAAATTATGTCGTTGACAGACGCGATCTTTTTTTTTTTTTTTTTTTTTTTTTTGCAAAAATACTGCTCAAATTTACAGCTATTTACTCTTCATACAACTTAGACCTTAAAACAGCAAAACCTAATTGAAATTATTTTCAGTCGACACAGATCCTATTGCACAAAGCCGGTGATCTGGTTAACCAAATAACTGTTCGATTCTAAATCACTTCGTTCACTACGTGCATGGAATTGTAAATTTTTTTAAAAAATAATATAGTAGTAAATCAAATTATGGTTGTATGAATATTAACTGAGGATTGGATGTGAAAAGGATTAAACAAGGTTTTTTTTTTATCTGACAAATTTCATCCATTTTATCAACAGGGAGCTGGCTTAACCCTTTAACTACTAAAAGTGATTAACTTGCAACTTCTCTCCTATCATATCTAAACATTAACCGGCAAACAGGTAATGAAAATACTCAAACTTATCTGGTAGAACTTGCTATCTTGATCAAACACCAGATACTCGTAACTAGCTTACGAGGAAATGTGTAGCAGCTAGAAGGAAGAATTCACAATCTGATCTTGGGAGTTAAGGAGTTAAAAACGTTAGCGAGCTCTAAGAAACTCAGAACATTTTAGACATGTACATTTTAGGAATGAATAACCGAAATTAAACGGATTTATTGGCAAGCCGAAAGAAACAAAAGCTTAATCGATTGCTCCAAAAGGAAATGAAAAGTATGTAACATCTCGTTTGTAAAAACACTCTTATTCGTAATACAGTCTAATTCTATACATGATGATAGATTACGTCTGACCCTAAACAAGCAAACTTCAAGTTTAATGCGAACGTGGTTCCCTGGAAATTTATCAAAAGAGGTGCCGTCTTTAAATTTCTGAGAAAACAGGAATTCCAAAGCTGAGAAGATGGAACTAGAAAATATATGTACATGAAGATATTCAGAAAAATGTTGTTTCAAAAGTTAATTATAAGTTTTGCATTTTGCAGGTTATAAGATAGGCAACATCTGCGATTACCATTGCACATCTGCAATACTTATTGCATTGTAGACGCACATAATCACTAAAACAGCTGTTTAGTAATTATTAATTTTGAAAGCAGATGTATCAATTGGAAATTTCGCCATTTTTAACATAAACGCGTCTGAGACGACAAAGACTCTTTTAAAACTGACAAATTGGAACACGTAGGTACATGCACATAAAAGAGTCCTACAAAAACAACATCTCACTAAGTAAATTAAGTTAATATCCTAATAATGAAACTCTGTATCAATTTCAAAATGAAAATGAATTAATGTCATCAAGAAGCTTAGCAGTTTCCCGTTTCTTCTAGAATGCAGATTTTAAGCTAGGAATTGAATTAGATTGCTCACAAACGAGACAGTTTGACCTTATAAATCCCTTATACAGTTCAGGGTTTCGATGTTGAAAATGAAATAGGCACACAGCCATGTATTGTTTGGATATGGATAATTTGAACGCATAATATGCTTACCTTGGCGGGAACTTCCACCGAATCATCCAGTTCTTTCATGGAGGTCATCTCAATTTCTGACTCCGTTCTTAAAGCTACTTATGCTTTCTAAACCACACCTATGATAAAATACATTTCTTCCCTACAAGGGTAAGAAATCTATCTGAACTTGAGGCTAAACTTTAAGAAACCACATCAATGCCTTGGATCCATTAGATTGCTGCACAATCATCGAGTGACAGAAAAGAAAGAGCTTTCTTTTTTATGGCCAAAAGTTATCACTAATGCCTCCGAGATGAAGCTGACGATCTGATAAACATCGCACGTGTAAAATGTTTTTACTGTAAGCAAAATGTTCTTTATGAAAACAGTAGTTGAAAGGTGACAGTGCACT